AGAGAGAATGAGAGACAGAGAGCATGAGAGGGAGGAGGGTCAGAGGGAGAAGCAGACTCCCTGCCGAGCAGGGAGCCCGATGCAGGACTCGATCCCGGGACTCCAGGATCATGACCTGAGCCGAAGGCAGTCGCTTAACCAACTGAGCCACCCAGGCGCCCTGCTTTCATTTTATAAAGGAATTAATAGCCCTCAAATTTGCAAGACAATATGAAGGATATGCCTCTCCCTCATTTTTAAAAAATTGTTTCAATGTGGAAAATGTACTAAGGTGGGGGGCAGGGTAGGAGTGAATTTCTCCGGGTTGGAAATATCCCTAAGGAATACAGAAAAATTCCCCAAAGTCCTAGGAAGTATATAGGTCTGAAAAAAAAATTAGATCTACCATAAATAAGAAAAATATTTTTAAATTATAACTTTCATCTGGTTGTTTTGTTTTGTTTTGGGTCAGACTGTATCTGAGGAAAGGAAGAGGGGAAACCAGAATCTGCAAAATCTACGACTCTCCCTGTCTTCCTGAAGCTGAAGCTATGTTTGCCATCAATGCAGATGGAGTGGGAGATGCCAAAGACTGAAACATTGGGGTTTTTCCTGTGATAAACCTTAAGTGCTACAGCCTAATGGAGAGGACTGCTCCCTGGGGTTCTTCATAGGCCTCTTCCTGTTGTGACTGCCAGAAAAAGGCTTCCGGAAAAACAGCTATTGTATCGGCTTTTCTGATGGTGTAAACAGGAGACAGGTCAGTAGTCACAAACTGATCTGAAATGTTTATTCCGTCTGGAGTGTATTAATTTCCATGTGAATTATTTCAGGGGAAACAATACCTTTCACATAGTGCCTTGACTCAGAACTAACAGCTGTCTACTGGACAATCTTTAGTTCTCTTGCAGACAGAAGCTGGGGAGACTGGATTCTTTATCTGAATAATGTTGAAATGCCTGTGTGGCAAAGAAAGTGGGTCTCCTCATAGGTTCTTTTCTTTCTGCCAGTAAAAGTCTGTCAGTCAGAAGCAGGTTGTTAAGTTAGTTTGCCTAAATTATCTTATGTAAGAATTTTTTAGTTAAGGGCTATGGAGCAGGCCTTCTGGACCGCCAGCCCTTCACCATCTACTTGGTTTTTTAACTGCTAAGAGTAACTCAAAATAATTCTGGAATCTTAAGCATTTAGGGGCTCTTTAAGTAGATTTAGTGTGGAGCTGCTAATAAGGTAGTTATTTGTGCTGTTTATAGGAGTTATTCTTGTATAAGCTGAATATTTCAAGATAGGGCCTTTAACTTTTTGGCACTGGCTGATCAGTTTCTATTGGTTTAAAATTGAAAAATTTTAAAGGGAAGTCATATATTCAGATGATTGAGCTTATTATCCTTCAGTCTAATAGAGATTATTACAAGATGAATATCCCATGACCTTCCAGTGACCTTTGTGAGTCTTATGTTGTAGAGTCCTAATACTTGTCCAGATTATTGTACTTCAGGGGTTTGAGATCCTCCTCCTCTTCTTCAGACTTCTACTCAGGATGGCTTTAACCAGCTCTTTGAATTTCAGAAGGCCTGTCTGCTAGTCCTGGGAGGAGAGGCACAGAAAATCTCTGCTGTTGCCTGTGTTGATCCTACTGTAGGCAGGGAGATAGATAGGAAGACACAGTCAATTTAATGCAGCTTTGTTTAAAGAATGGAGTACCTCTCCGGTCTTATCTTTCATTTCTATACCATGAAATAAACCTAGGATGGTATAGTAAGCCAGAGTGACAGATTCTGGAATGGAAGCTTGGTTCTTATATAAAAGCATTTCAATCCTTCAGTCCTATAAACTTATCTCAGTTATTCTTGTAGGTGGGATTTATCAGGTGAGATTAGGCTTTGTGCTGTTGGCCATAAGAATAGCCTAGTTGGGGGGCGTCTGCCTTCGGCTCGGGTCGTGGTCCCGGGGTCGGGCCCCCTGCTCCGCGGGAGGCCTGCTTCTCCCTCTCCCCCTGCTTGTGTTCCTCTCTCGCTCGCTGTCAAGTAGATGGAATCTTTAAAAAAAAAAAAAAAAAAAGCCTAGTTGGAATAGGCCTTATTAGGCTAAAATAAGCTCTCACCCTGTATTTTACATGTAACTAAAATTTCCACTGAAAGTAGCTTTAACCCAAGAGCTTAAACTATTTGGTGCTATTTTTCTATTTGTCTGTAGCAGTGAAACAATTACGGAAATGTCAAGCAAGAAAGGAGCTGATGGCAAACATAGAGGAATATAGTCAAATTTGGTTTATTTCAGGTTTGTACCAAAATATATTCCAGGCAACTCCTCAGATCACTATTTCACAGTCTCAGAAGCCTTATGCACTGGTGTCCTTCCAAAAGCTGCCAGGACTCTGGAAGTGAAGTGGTCCAGCCCCTCGGCCCAAGAATAGTTAGAACTGACATGACATGATAGGTGAGAAGAGGGCAATATCCATGGGCTGCCCTGACTTTTCCTTTTACCCTGGTAGACCAGAGTATGGTCTTAGAACTTATAGTTTGGAGTCAAATATTAATAGAAAATATTAGAGAGTACAAGTTCTGTGTTTTGTTCTTATAGCTCTTTGAAGTTCATCCACCTCACCAGCAGGCTAAAGATAGCCGTCAGTGCTATATATATTACTCTTGATTTTTCAAGAATTCATTTAACTATAGCAATCCCGGCCTTAAGTACTTCCCCAATTTCAGATAAAATAAGGGATTAGAATAAATTAACTAGTGGGCAACAGGAAAGAAATTGGGGAATGGTTATGGATACCAGTCAGGACCATCACTTAGATTCCTGATGATCTAAGCAGGGCAGTCTCCCTCAAGTCATGAAGGCCATTGAAATGTGATTATTCTCTTAAAATTACTTCCAATTCTTCCAAGTCCTTCTGGAAAGCTGAATCCTAGGGAAACAAAGACAAGGACTCATTTCCCAAACCACTGATACTTTCCCTACTGAGCTCTGTTACCACAGTCTTGAACCTACTTTCCCAGAATAGCCTGCAGCCTATGAAATCTGCCTCCTCCCCTAGGTGAGATATATACAAAGGAGCCTATATGCAAAAGCGTAGACTCTGTTGTAGGGAAATAAAACCTCAAGGGAAAATTTTCTTTCCCGAAAAGGTCACATGATTCAATAATGGAACCCAGTATTAGAAAAGCTCTTCAAAGTATTACCTCATTGGTGACATCCGGCAGCTCCAGGGCTAACTTGATCCATTGTCTAGCTTCAGAGTTTTTTCCTAGTTCTCTGTAGCACTGAGAAGAGATAACAGTGAAAACCACCACCAGGAGACTGAACTTTCAGGACTTCCCATTATTTATCAACATATATAGTTTCATCTACGTTGAAAAAAAACAGGTGAGTTTACCTTGGAAATATATACCCTCCCTGCTTTGGAAAATCCTGGCTGTAATTCTTCAGCCTAGAAAAGGGAAGAAGGCATTTCAGTAAGGGAATTACAAATTCAAGTCAAGCTGAAGTTTATTAAATAGAGCTTTCCAGTCCTGGCCTGGGGAACTCTACAAGCTCTCCAGGTGGTTCTGATTTTCCCATAGAACAGGCAGGCATAAAATTGCTGCCTACCAGAAATCCCTCCCTTCCTTCCCAATACCTAATACCTTTAGGAAGCTTTGGAGGGCATCCTGCACAGTGGCACTGAGAGGGCTTTCAAACAAAGCTGTAGCAGTTTTTTTTTCTAACCAGCTCAGGTGAGAGACCTGCCACCGAAAGATCAAAAAGTGTGAATTAAAAGGTGGTTTGTTTTTTTGAGAGAGAGAATCTCAAGCAGATTCCCTGCTGAGCTTGGAGCCTAACATGGGCTCAATCTCATGACCCTGAGATCATGACCTGAGCTGAAACCAAGAGTCGGGAGTTCAACCAACTAAGCCATCCAGGCACCCTGGAATTCAGCTTACCTGATAGCACCACCTGCCAAGGAGAAAGTGAGCCATAGGGTTTTCTGGCTGGAGAGCAATGGCTTTGTCCACATGCTCCTGAGGGGGAAAAAGTAAATATAAATTGACATCAGAGTTGCTGAAGGAGGAACAAGAAGTCGTAGAAACTGTAGGAACATCCTTTGCAAGGAGCAAGGAAAGAGCCGCGAATCTGAACTAGAGCAGCACAAGGGAAGGAAGAGAAGCCTTTCCTCACCTTGAAGCTAAAGCCACTCTGGATGCGCCTCTGGATGCTCTCATGCTCAGCTAGCTGACCACAAAGCACTGCATACCTAAGGGGGAAAGCCGCAGCAAGCTCAGGGACAAGGAATGGGCTTCCCATCCACTGCCCCCTTCTCCCTCAAATAGAGCTGAAAATAGCATTTCCATACATACAAAATTCCTCTTTTCACAGATCTGTGGTCCCAATTCATATTCTTTAGGCTCTCAATTCTCCAAAGTATGCTAGGTACAAAAAAGTGGGGTCCACCATAGTAAACTTCCCATACTTAACATTTAGGCAGTGTCTCAGTCCAAGTCTCCACAAATTTCCCCCTATAATGAGTACAGCCACTGGGGGTCGTAAAAACTTAAAAAGCAGATCTCTAAAAATCAGCATTAAAATGTAAGGGACCTAAGTACATTGGTTCTTATCTCCTGAGCAGACACTAAAAAGTCTCATTAGCTTTAGAAGCATACAGGCATGTTCTGGGGAAGCTATACTCCAGGACAAACTGGGATACTCTAGGAAATTCTAATGTTAATTTGGGAACCAATAGAAGCAGAGGAAGAAAGACTTCAGATTTCAGTCCTCTCTACATCCTCCCTCCCAAGGGAACAAAGCCAGCCAGCTTCCCATCTTCTGTCTTCAAAAACAAAGGTCTCACTACCCCATCCCCCCCAGCATTGTTTCTGGAAGCACAGTTGACATTAAATGAGTGTCTAGAGACCCAAGTTGCTTTTTCATATATTCAACAAATATCTGGGGGGTGGGGGTGGCATTTGTATCCGATACTTCGAGGCTCATTTCTGTATTTCCTCCAAAAAGCTGTTCCCCAAGAATAAAGTATGAGACCAGTTTCCATCCTTGGGAGTCCAGGAGCCCCAAGGAAATCCACAGGGAAGTGGCAATAACCTGGCCTCTGAGAAGAGCTCTTGCGGTGACAACCTTAGGACAGAAATATGGAAAGCAAAGGGGAGGTAAGGGAATTTTCACTATGACTCTGAGGTGCTGGAAGCAGGCCCTAGGACACAAGTTGGCCTTGACCCATGGAAGTTGGCAGAACTTTGCCTCACAGGAGACAACAAAAGCAGGGCTGATGTTTTTGTAAGCTAATAAACTAAACTTCCTGGGGGTGACCTCACATTCGCTTTAACTCATGCAAGCCAAGCAAAGAAGCCAAAGTCTACCACCAGCCAGGGATTGCAGTTAGGGGGAAAGAAGAGCTTGTGCAGGAGCTACAAATTGTGCCAGCCTCCCTGAAGAACCAAGAACCCACAAATTTTGTAGCGAGGATGACTCAAAAAGCTACGTATTTCTCTAAGCTCCAATAACAACAAAATCTTCGAATTCGCCCTTGCCTCACTTCCAGGGCACCTTCCAAAAAAAACTCCCCTGGGTCCCTGGTTTGGGTTAGGCCCAGCCATATGGTAATAAAGGCCAGAGCTCCCTCTCCTGTTTCCTCTGGCAGAGAAATGGCTCTCTCCCACTGTAACTCATGCTAGCTCTTCCCAGGATCCCCCAGGGTGTTATTACCACTGGTGACAGTCAGCATTCCCATCCCCCTTCTTCAGGGCAGCCTCTGCTTCTTCTTTTCCTGTAGGGACAAAGGTGATCCAGAGTTGACAAGGGCTCCCATGCACACTTCCACATGAGGGGCTATGGCTAGAATGACTACTCTAGCTCTTACCAATCCCTACCCAACCTGGACTTGTTTGCAATAATTTTGAATTTGAGCAGAATGAAAAGCCGCAAATAACTTCTCAGGGATAATTTCTGCTTCACCTCGTTGCTTTCACTATCTCTGTCATCAGCTGCCCAACTACCTTCTTTTTACAACACCCACCTGATGTGTTTAAAGCTTTTATTTTTTTAAGATTTTATTTATTTATTTGACAGAGAGA